GCAAGTATTGGAGAGACGATTGCCTACAGGCGACATCCTGAGACCTTCGTCGTGGACGGCAGCCATAGCCACCCTTCTGGAGCTCGCCATAGCTAGGGCATCCTCTGAGCATCCACCCCTAGGGGTGCTTGCGAGTGGTTGGGCTATTCTGAGGCTCTACATGGTGTTCGTGGGTGGATCGTTATCGCCGCATCGTCCTCTGAGATCGTGTGTGGCATCAACAGTGGCGCTGCAGCCATAGCTGCAGCTTTCTTTGTCAGAGTTGCTCATCGGCACTAAGGGTTACATCACAGTTCATGTTCTTCATCTGGGTGGTTAGTGCAGGCCTCTGGGAGGTTGTTGTTGTGCGGCGCTATTAATTGGGTGTAGTCTGGGGAGTGGAGTGTGTGGTTCTGTGAGTGGAGAGACACTGAGACAAACTTTGTAACGATATTGGTTCAGATCAGCTCAATCTTAGTATTGTCAGAGAGAGAAACACTTCGTGTTACCTCCACACCTGTGCATAGCGATTTTCCACTGCTTACTCTGTCTGTGTGCAGTGTGTACTTTGTCTCCTCTCCCCTTCTTCTTATGCATGTATGGGCGTGCGTAAGATTATCTGCGTGTGAGTGTTGGTGAAACTCGACAGACAACCAAGTTCATCCATGCCCTATCTTTGCTTCCATATCTAGGACCTTCTTGCTAAACGAGGGAAAGTTGTAGTGCAGCGGGCCTTCATCTGCCCTGGCCTACAGCCAGGGCCTATTTGGCTACTTGCCCAGTTCGGCCTGTGGGACCAGGCCGTGGCCTGACCCCACAGGCCGTGTGTTGTTCTAGTCCTGCCCGGTACCACTGTCGGTACCAAGCCAGTCCAATCCAGTCAGTCAGTCCGCTGGGGGTATACCCCAACACTTGTCTGTTTTTCGTCATTCTTCACTTCTGCAGATCTTGGAGTACGTGCGTGTTGAGTCTGCGTCGGAGCTGCGCTGTCCCTTCCAGCTCCATCTCTATCTCCTCCCTCGTCTACCCTTCGTCTCCATTCTGTCGGACCGCCATCCCGGCGGGTCCGGCACATTGGTATCAGAGCGGGAACGGTCCCCGCTCCAACCCGCCCTTCCCCCCGCAGGCAACAGCGGGTGCGGGATCGGTGTAATCCCGACAGCGGGATTTTCAGGTGTTTTTCGGTGCGGGAGCAGAGAAAAAACGGGAAAAAAGCAGCAGCGGGAAGAGAGTGACACGTGGCGAAAAAGGAGAGCGCCACCACGCACGCGTGCGCGCGCGCCACGCGCCCACGCTGCCCCACCCCGCCCCGCTCCCGGATATATATTATCAAGATATCCGGGATGCTGCTGCTGGGCAAGCAGCACTCATACGCGTGCGTAGCCAGTGCTATAACACACTGGCCAAATTGTATGCATGGCTGTATAGTGTGGAACGTTCATATTGAACAGTTCCACACCAGCTATTT